AAAAAAAAGGTACATATTTACAGGCTCCAGGATTGAATTTTGTTGCTTTTCGCTGCAGGAAAACCACTGACATTCCTGAATACCACCAAGAGGAAGGCGAGCTAGTGGTTCCAAGCTACGGCTACTTCATCCGAGGAGCTCAGACCACCTTTAACGGAGTGCTAAGGTCTGTGTTCCAACGGGCCCTCTGAACTTCTTGGTTTCATCTTCTGCCGGACTTGACAGTGTTGTCTTGATATTTGCCCTCAGGGATCGCCAGTGGAAGTACATCTTGTGCAGGATGACCGACTTCGACTGTGAATTTGAGAATTTGTAGACGCGTCCGAGAGAAATGGCAAATTTGCCGCTACCCTTTGATATTGACAACCATGTGGTTCGTATGGTTACTTTTTCTGGGCCGAATACAGGTCCGTATAATTTTACTTGCATGCAAAACAGAAAATGCACATAAAAAAACTAAAAAACATTTAAACAACAAGCGGCATGAAGCTGCGGTCAGTTACAGGAAGTCCCTTTCATGTCGGTTTGGAAACTACACACGCGTATTGTTTGAAAACCACAAGATTAAAACCATAACTTTCTTCATTCCGTCGTGTAAGCTTTTTTTAATCCGGTCTGATGTGAATTTCTATTCTCCCACCGCGTGGCAGAAATAGTCCAACCGACTTAAAGCTCGAGGGGGTTTCACGCATGCTCCATTTAGTGCACTTTCCTCCTTGGTTCAGTTCACCCGGTCCGGTGCAAACTCCAGACATCAAACTAGTCGATCGGATTCCTCAAGAACTTTGGCGGTTGGGTGAGAAAACGATCCCACCTTGAGCTGATCCAACTGAAAGATGTATCAGTGCCTCCGGAATGTTCTAGGATTGGAAGTTAAGGGCCCAGCACTTCTTGGTAGTTCCACTGGGAGGACACCGCAGCCATTCCCAAAACCAGCCGAGAGACTCCCCGGTGTGTACAAAGGTATTCGGCCGACACTTTTGTTGGCTCTATCGTTTATCTCACTTTTTCTCGACAGGACTGGCGGCTTTGTTAACTAGCTTGGTCCATTGCCAAAGTGCAGTTAAACAAAGTCATCTGGAGGAATACAATGAAGTGACCCGGCTCTCTTTAAGGAGAGCACTGCGGTTGGGCCAGCTGCTTTTCAGTGCTTGTTTGTTTACGGCAGCTGCCGTCTCGGGGCTTGAGGCCAAACACC